GGTTTCTGTCCTCCAGTATCCTCAGGCCCTTCTCCACAGAGGTGCTCTCAATCCATTCATCCCCCAGCCTGTATTGATACCGGGGATTGCCCTGACTCACAGAGCCACCCCCAGAATAGGATTCTTATCCTAGGAGGAATAAATTCAGACCTGTAAATCCAGAGGCAGTTAAAAAAACTATCTATATTTTGTCATACTTTGTAGTGGATATGAGCATTACTCATCAACCTTGAACCTTCAGGACTCTCTTACCAGTCCTGCTTGCAGGATGTAAGTCAGTTTGATCCATATCGAGTCCTCTTTATGCAAGATGAGGGTGGCTGCAGCTTTTAGCATGAGGAAATGTCTTATCTGATTATAGAAAGGCTCACACAACACCATGACTTAGGGTCCAGATCTATCTCTAATATAAGTTCCAGTGAGTAGTTGCTGCAGATCATGTGTGGTTAATGTGCATGTGGCTGAGCTAACAGCAGTGATGCCTGGGAGAGACTCCATGTGTAACACAGAAAGGTGAGAGGATGAGTTCCAAATGGTAAAACCTGTAATCAACGTTAGGCCTTCAGCTGAATCTCTTCAAAACACTTTCAGTTTAAGACATTATCTCTTCTTCACCTTCTTTAACTTCCTTCCCTCCCCAAAGAGATCTATTCTGCTTCTCCAGACTCAATGATCTCCAGGTTCTCATAATGAATCTGGCACCCCAGTGGCATCTGACTCTTCATTTTCCTCAAACTTTTATGGTGAGAATCCAGTTACACAAGTAATGATTCACTTGACACACGATGTATTTTACCACAGCTATGGCACCTTTGATGGACTGGTTCAGGATGTTTTTGTGTTTCAGACCTGTTTATTAGAAGAAACTACTGATGGATTTCAGTTCCAGCTGGAGCACTGTGTGCTGTGTACATGGATCACATTATCCGTGTGGAGCAATTGGACCTTGACTTCATACCCTGCCCAGGTTCTATGGCTCTTCTCTGACCTCTGGCTCTGGCCCATCTTTCTACTCCCCCTCCACTGTTTCTGTCCTGTTTACACAGTGAATTCTGCATGGCCGGGATTATCTTTCATGTTACTTGTGTATTATGGGATCAAATCTTGGAGGTAACCTGTAGGCTTTTCTACAGTGCAAAACAGCTCATCTGTACTTAATGCTACACTAAACACAGAATATGGCGGGTGAACTTGGTATTGTGTGGTGGGTTTACTTCAGTGCTGACAACTTCAGACACCTCAGAACTGGCCGATAGATCAGTCTGCTCTTCAGTGAAGTTGGTCAAAAGCCCAAAGAGGCATAGCTGCACAGACATGTGGTTGGTGGTTGTGCAGGACGGAACACATGACCTTTGGGTGTCACACTGAAGACAGTCTGCTGGGCGATCCTGGGCTGGGCTGCAGGACAGGCTTCCCTGTGGGAACTGTTGTGACAGGGCTGGGGAACTTCAGCTGGGCATAGCTGAACCATCTCCCTGATTTGTGTCTACCATCTTACCAGAAAGGCACCTTGCCTTTTGCTTGGATTGCATCAGTTATTATATTCAAAACATGGCCACAGTGGCTGAGTTACGATTATTTGCTCATTAATTAGAGAGCTCCAGAGAAGATCTCCCTGGTTAGGGAAGGACGTTGCTCAGGAAGGACTACTGAGCAAAGACCTGTATTTAAGCTGTCTCAGTTTGGGCTGAACTGCTAAGAAGTCTGTTAAGTTACTGACAGAATCATTCTTCACAGCTGTCAGCCCTTATCCATACTCTAGAAGGATCATTAATACGGCTAAAATGGAGTATCTGTCACTCTTGCGCTAACACTCAGAGTACTTCCCATAAATACTGTTTAAAAGGACTTGGGTCCAGATTATTTAGTGTTTGCTTCAGAGTATGGTAAAACTTTACTACATTTGATTTTTGTCATTGTTACAAGCTTTTTCAAAAAGTTCTGTACCATGCAATTATAATGAGAAAGTCACACGCATTGTCTTGTTACTCAGTGGTAGGATGAAGCAAAGGAATGGTGAAATAATGAAAGCTAGGAAGATAAGCAAGTATCTGCCAGTTTTTAATTACAAAGCTAATAAAATTAGATTGACATAACTCAAAACCTCTTGCTGCTACACTCAAAAGCAATGTGAAAATATGGATAGAAAAAATCAAGGGAAATGAAGTGTTTCTTCAAGGAGCTATTTTATAAACATTCGAGTTATTAAATTTAACCTGCTTAACTGAATACTGCATGCTGAAACTTCATATTGGTGAAAAATAGTATGAAGAGCATCTAAACATCCTGTCTAACTTTGTAAAACCCAGCCAAATTTATCAGTTTTCAGCTGATGACTTTTCCAGACCTATAGTCAGGTTTTTCTACTCCCTTTTATAACATTATGGCTCATTTCCAAGTCTCATAGAAATTGCAGTTCACTTTTTTTTTTTTTTTTTTTTCCTTTTAATTTCTCTTACAACCTTCAAGGTAGATGAAAGATTTATATTTTTCTGTTTTCAAATTGCTTGTACCATTTTCATCTTGAAGCCTGCTCCAGCTTCTGATTAAGAATGTTTCTTGACATTTAGGTTTGAATTTTAATGCTATCACACTTCTTTATTTTTACTGATTGACTCTAGATTTTATTTATTTCTCTGGATATGTATTCTTTTTCTGGTGGTAATTTACGAAACTCCTAGATAGATTACCCCTGCAAAAGTGGTGGTGTTTGTATCAAAACATGTTGCTAGCACTTAGATAAATAAAGATTACATGGCCCAAAGTCCTGAATCTAATGTTGTGGAACCTGAGCCTGAAATAATTCATCCAGACACTAAAGGTGAAACTGCAAAGCTCAGAAGAAAAGTGGCTGAATTCTGGAAATATGTTTTCAGAACTCCTCTTGGCCTTGGGCTGGAATAGATTCAGTCTGTAAAAAATAAGTTCCTTTATATAATTTTAAAAAGTTGATTTTTGGATGTCCTAGATTGATAAGTACCTATTCCAAAGCATTCTTATGTGATATAACCATATGAGATGTGCAATGAGGGACTCAGATGAGACTCACTTCCAGATACATATTTTCCTGGGACTCCACGGATTTTCCTGATCCTGACTTACTTCATGAGAAGAGGAAAAGAAGGATTTCAACTATATGAGACACAAAGAAAAGTTTATTCCAGGGGTGCATCCTTCATTTTTAAAATATTACAACTCTGATTCCCTCTGTTTTACACGTTGTGCAGTCACTTACACAATGAATGAGGGGATGCAAAATGTTTCCCTTAGCTCAGGTCAAGCTCTGATTTCATCCAAAATGGTTTAAAAATAAATGCCATTTCATGATGGTGTTCAGGTAGAGCTTCAGCAGTATAAGGCACAGGCAGGTGATGGGAGAATTGGAATGTATGAACTGGCATTTTCAAAGAAATCTAATTTTTACTAAATCACAATATTAAGTTGTGTGTCTACCTGGTGACTGTTATTAAACCACAGATATACTGTAGTTATAGTGTTATCCTGCACATTCCCAGCTGATGTTACTTTAAAAATTGCCTAAGAAAAAGGCTCAGCTGAAGAACAGGAGTTTAGCACCTTTTTTTCAGCTGGCAGGCAAACTCTGCTCTCAAATTCAGTGACATAACTGCAGATGTCTTGATTTCTGAGTACATGTTTCAAGGTCATCTTTTTTTCCATGCTTTCGTGGATTTCTCAGCCTTTCCAAACATTCTTTACATGTTTGAATTCCCATAATAGATTTGGTTTGACCGTGGGACACACAATAGTGAATTTAAAAGGATGATGAATAAAGAAGAGAAGAAATAGCATTTAAAATTTTTGTTTTGCTTTAAAAAGTATAGATGTTCTAAATATTTTAAAACCCTAAACCCTTCTGCTGTTCTTTTCTCACACTACTGGCAATTCAAATCTTCTTTACTCTGAAACAATATGAATTACCAGATAAGTAGTGAAATGGTCTTATGAAAAGAGACTAAAAGGTTAAGCAATTGAGGGGGAGAGATTTTTAACACACTCAAAACAACCCATTTTGCAGTACATTACCCCAAGTATTCTGGTGGCAACAAATCAGTCACCCTAGAAAGGAAGCAATTTTATTACACCAGCCTATTGAAATGCTTTCATAACGTTGGAAGAAATGCCGCATTTCATAATGAAGCATTAGGAAGGGACCTAGAAACATTTTTGACTAATGGTGAACGTGGGAGAGGAAACCTGCTATGTTTCTGAAGGTACGGATTGTTAAGGTATACACACTGGGTCTCAGAGGGAAAGTACTAGAGGAAAAAATGTGCTTGTCACTCATGATGACAGACAGCTGTGCAAATGCATCTAGCTGCTCTGTGAAACAGAGTCCAGCTCTAGACAAGCCAGGTTGGGTAACAGAAGGAGCCTCAAATTTCCAAGTTGTTTTGTCTTTGCTGATACAGGGTCCCAAGTTAGCTAATGTGGGTTAACTAATAAAGCAACCCTTGGTGATGTGTCACAGAGCCTGTTTGTCAGGATATGTAAATAGCTTCACAGACTTTTAATGTGGCAGCTAGGATCTGTAACACCCACCAAATTTGGCTCCCCTAGTTATCTGGGATGTGGTGTCATTGTTTGTGCATGTCCTCTATTCCTTATTCTGAGTTGAGCTCTGCTGTGTCAAAAAAAAAAAATCTTAACTATTCATTAAACAATTTTGAAAGAAAATAACTTCATTAGATTATAATCATATACAGAAACCTAAAATGTCAAATAAATGTTTTTGCTGAGCAATAACTGTGCAACTAAACTCTTTTTCCAGGCATCTATAACTCAGTGAACCATGATTTATTAGTCTTGAAGACTTCAGAATACTTTAATCTCCGTTTATCAGATGAAGGGATGGATGCATAATCTTAAAAGCAGTAATAGACTTTTCACATGTGAAACTTCTAACAATGACAGCTATTTAATTATAGTTCATTTGAACCACAAAGCAAAATTGACTTAAGCTTTTTCATCACACCATCATGCTTTCCTACGAAACAATTTTGTTTTTCCCCCAAACGTAATGAGTGTGGGATCTTCAGCTAGATGGGTCTTCAGGTTGGGTCCTCAACATCTTTATCCGTTTTTCCAGCCTCTCCATCCATTCATTTCTGAGCCTAAGGACAGAAACATGGATCAGCTTGTCCCCATATTTTTACAGAGAACAGGTTTATACTATTCATGTTTCCCACTGGTGCTTTTTGTCAGTTGTCATGCAAACTGTCCTGACCCTTTAGAGTGCTTTGCTGGCTAGCACTTCAAGAATTGCTCTTGCATCCTGATAAGGGCTCACCTGAGCTTCGTGGTTCATCTCCATCCCCAGTGTGTGCTCTCTCCAGTGCCGCTGTGTGCTGGAGTGACTCGTCACCTCCACTGGAGAAGGCCTGCTGCCACCTGCTGGGTTAGCATCACCCAACATTTCCCCTGTCACCCTCCTCAGAAACGCATTTTAAAAAGGACTGCATAAGGGCCTCGGAGCGCTATTTGGCTTGGAAACACCGTGCATGTTGAAACCTCTGTCAGACTTGTAGCAGACTGCTTTAGGTAATAGGTGGCATTTTTTTTTTTTTTTTCCTTAGTATCTAGGTACCATGGAAAGACTGCCTCAAATAGGAAAGATGGGTATTTCACATCTGAGGAGTTGAGACATTAAAATTAGGTTAGTTACAAATTGGTAAAACATGCTAGAAACTAATTCCAGTGTTTCTTCACCCAGGGTTATTAATGCAAGGCCATTCTTGCTCTTATTTTTTCAATCATCAATCCAAAGAGAGGTATAAGGGAAATTTTGAAAAAAAAATGTTTTCTCACTGAATGATCTCAAACCAAAATAGCCATCTTTGCATGTGCCTTCAACTTACAGACTTTGTGTGAAGTAAAACTGTACTGATGTTGCCGCAGACTGGGTCTTTCTCATTGTGGCTGATAATGGTAAATATGACTGATTAAGGTAAATATGACTGATTAAGGTAAATATGGTTATGGATAATGGTTGCCTTGGTCTATTAGTACCCTTGGTCCATCTGCTTTATTATGGATTTACCTTATACAGATTAAGCCATCTTAATTAATTCAAACTATATTCTTGTGAAAACAAGGCCACAGAGAAAGAAGGTGGGCCAGGTACACATCCATGCTGGCTCTGCTGTGAACATAAGCCATGATGGTCAAGACAAGTCTGTACTGCTAGATATTGTCCTGATAACTTCAGAAAGTTCCATGCTTCAGACCCGTTTATGGAATGAGAGTAAATTATTCTCATCCTCTGAAGCCACACCTTAGACATGTTAACATTAGCATGGCAATTTGGGAAGATGTATTATTCTCTAAAAATCTAAGAAAAATACTTTCAGCTTTCATTGCATGACCTAAATATAGGTATCACTATTCTTTAAAAAAGAATTGCAATGCAAGCTCAAATAACTTTTCCAGATGCCAACTACGCACTTTGTCAGAGCACTTCTTCGTTGACGTTCTTTTTCAATTTGCAGATACCGAGTTTGTTGTTCAATGGTCTTTTCCCAGAAGTTCCTCAAGTCACTGGTTTCACATCCCCGCACTTCATGACGTATGTATTGGCTATTCATTTTCTCTAAAGGAGAAATTTGAAACAACCATAAGACAAGTTATTGGTTCCTCATCTGTTTTCATGGCTAAAGGACCCTCTTGCTGTTTTGGCTTTTCACAGCCTTAGGGTCACACAGTCTTTTGTTTGTAAGATCAGGATAACAGTGGGCATGACTCACTATTTAAGCTTTTCATTCCTAGCTCTGACACTTGAGGATATGCTGTCTGCAGTGATTTGAATGCTTGTTCACCTCAAATATCTCTCACCTCCATCTGCCTGTGACCTTTAAACTCATAGTGCAGGACAGTTCTGTTGTATTCTCTAGATTAATGATTAAGATACCTTTTACTGTACTAATAAATGGAAAGGAAATATAAAAATTGCCAGATCTAGTGGGATTTTTCCTCACTGTTTTCATGCCTATAAAATGATAAAGTGACCACTGTAGATTAAGATTAAAACAACTAAGAAAAAGAGCTCTGGTGATCTGTGGTTAATCATTATAAAACTTACCTTAGCTTTATTTGGGAATGGAGACAAGTTATATGTATGAAAGTAAGTACATAATTTTATAAGATGCTGACTTACAAAAGCCACATTGCTTATTAAGTATTTATCCCTCTTTGGCAATTTTCAAAACAGAGAAAATTCACTGAATATATTTATATATCTGTGTTCATTCTGTCCTTCCTCTTCCATTCAGTGTAATCTTAAAAATAAATTTCTGAGTGAATCTTATCCTAGGAAAAAAATATCTGTCTCAAGATGAGTCCTCACAGGCTAACAGTCAAGCCCCTGTATCCCACATTACAGCCAGAAAATCATATCATTACTTTCAAAACTTCATTAAATATGAAATGAGTATATCCATGCTGCCTTCCAAATTGCTGTGTGGTTTTGCATGAACATGCCATTATAATATTTTCCAGAACATTTAATTTTTTTTTTATTTAACAAGTATTTAGGGGTCTCTCGTGTTGTTTGAATTCATGGCAATTATTTGTAATTTATTTTAATCCGAGCCATAGAGAGCTAGTAAACAAGCCCCTCATGGCTAGCTTGGAAAAGCTTGAAGAAACTGCTGCCATTCCCCTGCCAGGCATCATAAGAAAAACAAAATTGGGAACTGGTAATTTTTACATAATTTCATTTGGAGAATTGGCTGTCTTGTGAAAAACTGTGAGACACATTATAAAGACTCTATGAGTGGGGAACAAAAGCAGCTCTTCTGAAGAGGTCCCTTCCTTGATGGGATTTCACTGTGACTCCCCTGTGGTTCCCTGTAAAAATTCCATATATCAATTCATGGTGTCCAGATGATAAAAGCACAGTATTTGAGCCTGACTTTTGCAGAAAAAATTTACTGAGCATTTTTTTTTCAGGTTCTGAGCAGATTACAGCTGGATGTATAAGTGTTGGCATCAGTCTGTAATGTGAATTACAAGTACAGTTGAACATCTTCTGCTGTGCTAGAGGGATAACCAATTCCAGGTCAAAAGTTCTCTTAATATGATTATGTGTTTTCATAAAATATATGTATTCTATAAATATCCACATATATACCAATAAAAACACAAATCTCTCTTGCCAGGTAGAATTTACTGCCCTTTTTAACTTTTTGTGTACCAGGAGTAATCTAGAAATATCTGAAAAATATACAGTAACAGCTGTGTGGATCAGATTAATGGACTTTCCACTTGAGGAGTTAATCCCTGAGAATAACAGTATTTCTGAGGAGCAGCAAGCAAAATTCCCAGATAACCTGAGGCTCCAAATTAAACTGCCATGAAATAATGTCTCCTGGTTTCTTTAATCAGAAGTGATCCCAAAACATAATAACTTCCAAATGATTATGAATTCCTGTTTAATATAGTATAGATGCATCATTTTTATATATATGTAAGAATGAATATCTCCTGAATAAGGCAAAGTTGTGGAACTCATTGCCATGAGGTATAACTGAACCCAGGTGTATGTTTTCAGAACACACATATCCTTAACTGGTTTTAAATGCTCTACCTCCTGGTTTGTTTGCATATATTGTTGGTGCTGGCTTGAATGTTTTTTATAGATGCGTCTCTCTGACACCCCTCCACACAGCAAAAAAACCCAAGGAAAAAGTTTACACCCAGTAGAAGGGTAGTTCAGAATTAGTTTTCATTGTTATTCACCTTACATCTGGTTCTGGCAGTATTCAGAAGAATGTTAGAATGTGGTTGAGACTACAAAGTGTGTGTAGAACTACACATTACAGGTTTGGGTGTTTCTGGGGGGAGGAGGGAGGAGGAATTAGCACTTTACTTTCTCTATTATCTGTGACATTGTCTTTGTGCGTGTTTGCTCACTAAGAGCATTGTCCAAACCTGTCCTACTTTTCTAACCTTTTATTTTGTGTTAATATGTGGATACTGTGGTGTTGGATTTTCTCTTACTTAGTCCTTAATGTTTCTTTTTATTTTCTTTCCCAGTAATACTGCAGAACACTCAAATATGCATCAAAGCAACTGAACTTAGAATTTCTGCATCATTATTTTACTGTTCCTTGTACATCCTTAATAAACATCAGTATGTCAGTGCATCAGCATTTGCTTCTCTGAACTGTAGAATCATCCTATCCTAAAATACCTTTTATTTCAAACCTTTTATTTGAGCTTATTCATGTGGTGTTTATAGGAACTGAACAATAAATGCTAAAATAACTCACCAGGTTTCCTTTGCCTTTATGCGTCATGCTCATAGAAGTTTGAATTCACCTCTGTTCTGCCATCCATTTTAAAACTGTTACCATAAACCTTCAGGTTGTGTGGGCAATCAGGGATATCAAATCCAGTCTATCAGTATTTCACTTGCCCTAAGATAAAGTTTCTGTGTTAAAATCTTCCCAGTGATGGAAACTATTTTTCCTTCCTATTTCAGTGTTTTTCAGAGGAGAATAACAGGATTTAAGCCTATATTTTGGCTTTGCACCAGCAGTTATCACCTGGATACAGTTTATTTTCATACCTTGGAACTTTATTCAAAGTAATTAGCAAAAGGGACCTTGTTTAATAAAGAAAGAGAAAAATGGAAAAGACTTCATTGGAAGCAGCCTCCAAAGCAGCCTGAACAAATAACCTGTTGTATCAGGTGGGTGGAAATATACTGTTAAAGCATATAGGCAGTTCTAATAGCACATTCATAGATTTTGGAGTTACGTCTGACTTAAATTACCCTGTAACATCTAGGACTAAATGAAGCTTTATTTAAACCTGTAGTGATAATCCTTTGAGAGGACAATAACGAGAGCCTCTTTCTGGTAATCATCTTTGACAGAACCCTGGTTGCAAGCTGGTGAACAAAGGTAGCCACTCTCTAATGAATGGAATACCTTCATACACTCTAGGAAGGCTTTATCCTATGCAAGATGAAGAAGATTTTTTATTTTTAGATTTAATAATTTTAGAACAGGTTGATATTATTTAGGCTCAGTTTACTACAGGAGATCCTACAAAGGTAGGGAAGCTGTGACTTTAGCACTGTTATCTGCAACTCAAAAATTATGTTGGTAGAACAAAAGAGGAGTGTAAGATCAATTCAATGTGACATCTTGACTTTTTTGTAAGTAAAAAAATCAATAGTTCGAGACTGGAACTCACTGGTTCTTTGAGAAACCATTACCACCATAAAACACAATGTTTCATGGAGAGAATTAGAAGTCACAAGTTTCCTTGCTAGAAAATTGTATGTAAAGAAATGTGTAGGTTTTTTTCCAGTAGTAGAACACAAATTGTTATTTTAAATGTTTTTTAAAATTTATAAAGCACTTACACAACTCATGAAAGCCATTTTTTCCCCTTTTTGTGCTTCTTGCATAACACAATTGGTCAGACTTTTCAGGGTGTTATGCATCTTCCTAGAAATAATACCATATTTTATTCATCTAGCTTCTCGTGGATCTTATTTGGTAACTGTGCTTATAATATAACTGCACTGGATTAATAAAAAATTTCATGACATATAGGAGAGTAGACTATGTATGTTAATGTTGATGTTTGATTTTAAATCAATAAGAAATCTGCTTTGATTTTAGAAAATGGGACTAGAAACCACAGCCAAGATTTCCCTCTTTTTCCTTGAATCTTGGATACATCATTTATCTTCTGGTTCTGCAGCTGGAAGCAATTCTCATCGCAAAGGGCCGATTGATGTTCGCTTTGAGATCCTGCCTGGGGAAACATACCAGTTTCAAGTCTAACTTCTGACTTCAGCTGCTGGGTGAAACTCTTTGGGGGCAGAAGAAAGCACTTTAGTTTACTCTCCTGTACCCTTCTGTTTGTGTGGCAGGTCACATAGTGCAGTCTATCTCATGAACAGCCTGAACCTTGGTGCTGCTCATGAGTGACACGGGCAGAGGTTTCTCACAGCCATTTCTGACCACCTTGTTGGTGGCCCATTACAGAGCTTCACCTCTCGGAGCTGATCTGGGGCACCAGCTTGGGAGATGGGGGAAGGCTGGTACAGTCTTCTGGTACATGCAGGTCCCTAACACTGTGATGATCTCTTTCAAACATTCATTAGTGTAACTCATCAGCAAATATGCGTGGCTTTGCATGTATACTGCACTGTTCTCTTTCTGTTTGCACTTCAGCAATACGAACTATCAATCTATGCTTTTCTTTTGCAAATAGTATTGTCTGGAGTTTACAGTGAAATAAGGGAATTCTAGATAAGTGATTTATTCTGCCAGCAGTATTTCCTAGCTTGGCAGAACTTGAAGTACATGCTATTACAGGGATGTGTGTTCAGTCAGGAGGTCATTCTCTTGGTATAAACTCCAGTCAAATTAATTGGATTTTTCCATGCAATGGGAAAATGAAAACAATACTGACATGTGTCTGAACAATATTAGTTACCTGTGTGCATGTTACAGGTACAAATCCAACAAATCAATTCTAACATGCAAGTTAAGCAATTTTAATGTGCAAGTTAAAATATTTGTACTCAGGCACTATGCAGCAGTTTCTGTTCAACCATTCTCCTTGTTCCTACTTCCCACAGGTAATTATTGCTTTTCCATTAAAGGCTGATGAATCTGAATCTATGTTTCTGATTTGGAGAACAGCTGTTCTTGAAATGCTTTGAACTGTTACAAAATTCGGAACTTTTTTCCACATGATACCTTTATGACAAAGAAACGTAATAAGGCAAGGCTTATGGCAGCTATGTGTTTTTTTGCATCTCATACTGCTACAGTAGCAGTATCAATGCCTTTGAATGCCACACACTGTAAGTGTTTCCTTCTGTCCTCCTCATATGTTGGGCCTCAGTTCTCTTTATCTGCTTTCACTCTTCCCTGGATACCAGACACTTGAATGATTGAATTATCGAACTGGAGGGAACTGATTCTCTGCCTTCCTTTCCAGTACCAGAGCACTCAGCAGTCCTCCAGCTGAGGGTTAAAATTCTTAAAACCTTTTGAGCAAAATGATTGAGAAATCAATGGTTTCATTTCCCTCTAGGTCATCCATTCAACTGTTACTATCCTAGTTCTGTTTACATGCCTATTTATCTATTTAGCTACTTGCTCTCTTCCACTCTGCGGTTCTCACTGACCCTTCTCTCCCAACCCACAGCCAAGGGCTTCCATGAGATGTCCCTTCACTTTTCCCTTCTCTGCCTTTGTCTCTGTTAAACTGCCCTTGTCATCTCCCATGCCAGTGCTCCAGCCTAATTTGGCCATCTCACACCTCCATTTTCAAACATCTTTCCATCTGATTTCCCCAGCTCTGTTGTTCCCTCTGGAAAATCTCTCTCTGCGTCTTGCTGGAGCTGCATTTCTCCCTGACTATTCATGCTGATTTCACCAAACTTTCCCTTGAGCATCTTCTCAGTGCCTCCCTGCTCCCCAGCTTCTCCCACCCCCTGCCCCTGGCTCTACATGGCAGCCACCTGCATTCCCACACATCCCCTTCCCCGGCACACGCAAACAGGACTGTGGTGGCAGTTGCACAGGGGTGGGCATCAAACGAACACGGCATTCATAAGCATCATGCAGTACAGAGTGTCCAAATGTCTTTACCGAGTTTTCCATAGATTTGTTCAACTCTTATTGGCATTTAATTTCCAACATCTAAGGCATATATAAAGTGGATGTAGTTTGCTTGCATGATGAAATATTGTTTCTGATCACTAGATATTCCCTACTGCCAGATACATTTGAAGCCTGACCCTATGAACTGCTGAATTCATAAGATCAAGTATATAGGGTAAATTAATATTTATTAGTCAAGGATCTTGAACGCATTTTATTTTGTTGTTTGATTTTTGAGTACAGGAGGACTCGATGGTGTATGATCAAAGAAAATAAATCCTGCCCAGGGCTCATGGTCTTCGTTAGATCATCCAGTTCTGACAAAACATGCAAAAGAAACCGATTCTGATTCATGTGAAGGTGTCTACCATTAAATTAAAAAGCCTCTCAGCAGCAGATTGTTGTTAAAAAACCTTTGTGAGAGGAGTGTGTGTGTATAACCTTGGCTACAGTTTAACCCATCAGTTGAGAATGTACAACCACATCTGGTGTTTTATCCAGGGTGGTGGCATGGAATTTGCCTGTAAATATTTTTTCTGTATCAATGCTACTCAGCTTCCTTAGAATGCTGCTAAACTGGGCACTCTTCCCTGGTATTTTCCTCACACTCATGTTTCCTAGAATATACTTTTGTGAGAATTAAAGTTAGAGAACAAATGCGTTTCTTGTTGACATTATGAAAAACTTGATACAAAAAACAAATAGTTACTTACCTTTGGAGTTGGACTCTTCCTGCAAATAAATTCTCTGTGTGACACAAACAAATGAGGAATATTACCACTGCAGCCCTGGCTTCTCCAGTGTCACAGGGCAGTAATGAAATGCATCCCTCGGTACTTTTTATTTGAAGTGGGGGTAACATAAATCCTTCATCATATCAAGGCTATTTTGAACAGAACCAGCAGTGAGATAAGATCATTTAATGAACTTTGCAGCCCCCTGCCTGAGACGACCATGAAACACAGGCCCCCTTGAGACCATGCATCCCTCCCACACTGGCAGATACCTCAGAGAGCATGACTTGGCAAGTGCTGAGAATTTTCTTTAAAATGCGTGCTAGTATTAGCCATTTTAATATTCCTCCTGTGAAGCTTGAAAAATTCCACATTACTATCTTAGCTGTAATGGGAGCTGAAATGGTGTGACAAATCACACTTGGTTTTGCATTACAGGGTGACTTATAGAAGTATGCAGTACTATGGAGCTGTTAATCTAAGGATGTGTGCTTGATTATGACCTATCACACAATCTGTTCTCTTCAAGGCAATTGTCACAGGAATTGTCTGTTTGGTTAACATTAGCTGACAAAATGCATTAAACCAGCACTAGTTTTACCATTTAGAGTTGTTATTACTCTATTACAGATGAACACTTACATCATTACATTTCATTTTCTGAGGAAAATATTTTGTAGGTTTGGTTGATGACAGATGTATGTGCTGATCTCAGTTTTCATTAAATCCATCTACATTGCTAATAAACCATATGTGACTTCTGGCTTAAGTAGTATTTATAGCATTGCTGATTATTTTAACCTTTCTTTGTTGTAATTTTTCAGACCCCAAGTAGCAAAAGCAGCAGCCATTAGATGGTTGCTTTCTGTAGTTCATATTTACTTATTTACTTTCTCTGTAGTCAGCTTTACAGCAGAAAACCCTGAGCAAAACCTAGCAGCTGCAGCCTTTCTCTGTACAGAAAAATTCCAACTCTTTCAAAAAAATTG